GGTTTGGGTGCAGAAGGGGGCGGGGCTGAGGGCTGGAAGGGAATGTGAGTGTGGGAGGAAGTTGGGGTGCAGACTGTGGGACAGAGTCCCAGAAATCGATGGCGCTGCCAGTGGCTCTGGGGAAGTTCAAAGGTACCTAGAAGGAATCGAAGATGAGAAAGTGGTTTAAGTGTCTGAGTCTTCTGCATCTGGCTGGTGAAGCCAACCTTCCCCTGCCTCGCTTCCTTGTGGAGAATTACGGCCCCATCATGTTGCTCTTGGTAGAGACACTGAGCGAACAGACTCAACTGCTTGCACATAGAGCCCACACCCAAGGTCTCAATGTGCTACCCCACCGTCTTGCCCATGATGGGTGTGGCTGCTGTTAGTGCCTGTAGGGTCCCCTTTGTGCCCATGTGCTGAGCCCCTGGAAGGATGGTGGTGTTCCTAGAGTCCTTTCCTGGCTGCAACTGATCTCTGTGACATGCTGGTTCCTGCCAGTGATAGGGGCTGAGGGCGGATGGATGAGGCAGTTCAGATACTGCGAGTGATCTGTGGGGGTAGTAGATAAATGTGAGGAGAGTTCTTGTATTGCAGGCACAGGGTCTGGGTTTCCTTTGACAAGTTTGGCTTTGTTCTTGCTGGGGCTCTCTTGCCTGTCTGTGCAATGGAAATATGGAAATAATCACTTCATCTGTCTTGTCATTTTAGAGCAAAATATCTTTGGGCAGGGACTTTTTCTTCCTATGGGAATGTCTGGCTTCAAAGTCAGGAGACCTGTGTTCAATTTCCTGCCCTGACACAGGCTTCCTGTGTGTTCTTTGTCAAGTCCCTCTCTCTGCAAAAGGCATTTCATGAGGCTAGGGAAGGATAAATACATTACATATGGGAGATGCTCAGCTAAATCTAAGCACCCTGATAGCAAGTGGGGTCCTAACTGACACTAGATATCCCAGGTGCTGCTGTGACTCATAATTTTTGCTACTTGTAGCATCTGCTCTGTGAATTGCTAATAGCACCACAGTGTGTCATTACGGCTGCTCAGGGCAGCTCTTTCTGGATTTCTGACAGTGTGCGGCTTTCCCAAACAACACATCTCAGAGTTGTCACTAAAGAAAAACATAGACTCTATTTGGGGGCTAAGGCGCTTGGCCAGATTTATTGTCGAAGGAGCAGGGTGCTAGTGTCCCAGCTGTCTGGGCACAGGTACAGTGAGACTTGCCCCACCTCAACAATGGTATCAGCTCAGTCAGCTACTGGAACACTGCCCCTGAGCACCAAGATGCCCCTCTTGTGACTTCCCCTTTCATACACTGACACAAATAAGGTGCACATTGCACTCCATGTGTTGCTACCCTCTCATCCTTGTACTTGCACATTGTAACAAAACATCCATATCCATTATCCCCTCAGATTTGCACGAGGCTCAGCATGTTCCTCTGCCATCCCACAGGAGTATATTTGCAGTTAATGCAGAGATGGGTGTGCTTTCCTCACTCCTTTAGATTAGGCCACTCCAGAACCCATCCCACCTTGAGGACATCCCTTATCCTGCTGTCCTAGTGCCTAAGCCAGATCCATCCCTGGTATGGCTGGTGCTGGCAGGGGTGCAGGATTTGAATCCACCACCCTGCACTCCGCAGGCAGAGCCCCTAGGCCACAGCAGAACCCACCCCACCACACTACCTTGAGGACATCCCTTAGCCTGCCTTCCCAGTGCCTGATCCAGATCCATCCTGGGGGCAACAGGTGATGGTTGGGGGTGCAGGATTAGAACCTACCACCCTGCTATCCCCTGCACCTAGAGCAGGGCTCCTGATAGAACCCAGAACTGCTCAGGTCAGCTGCTCTCATGATTGGGTTGCTGTGAGGTGCATGTATGCTCACAGCCCACGCTGTTCCGCTCATGACCGCCAGTGCACTGCATCATATCCTGCATACACAGGCCAGGTCACGCGCGCTAGCATCCAGTTTCCTGAACACAAGCAGCAGCAGTGGCAAGGGCTCTGGGTGCGGCAGTGGCTCCAGCATCAGCTCTGGAACCTGGGCATAAGGTTAATGGGGGAGGGAAATTGGGTTGGGGGGGCAGAGATGCCTGGTTCTGGAGAAGGGGAGGGGAGAAGAGGGGGAGCAGGTGCGTGTGGGGGGGGTGGCACATGGCTTCCTGGAT